CGTTCTTGATCATTATGGACTTAACAAAATAGGTAACAATCCATAGAAAATACGTACATTAAAAATCTTAGCAAAGTGACGTAGGAAACGAGCTTTATATCATCAAAAATCATTTGAGTCAGCCTTACGTCATGATATTAAATAACATTTGATTTTGGGCACTTCCATTCGCAAGCCATTGGATGTGAAAATAGAAACAGATGAAATTTATGAAGCTATTATGATTTTCTAATTATAACCTTTCATTAAAGCTCTATTAATTAGTGTATTGTGTAATTAATAAAGCTTATTTCTGACTAATTAGACTCGATTTATTTTCAAGATTATGAAAAATCGCCCTCAAGTGCACTTCTTACATTCATTATTTATGCAAAGGATTTTTTTTTCAATTACAACGATTGTGCATGCTTGCAGTATTCTTAATTAAAAAGTAAAAAGCTGAACATTCTCAACTCTTTTATGAAATTTTATTGAAATTTTATGATTTCCCTCGAGTTTGTTTTGAATACAAACTTTCTTTGTTCCTTTTAATTCTTCTTATTTCTATTCAAATTTATGAAATAAAGAATCCCCAAGTTACAAAAGGCCACGAGCAGCCAACATCATACCCAAAAAATTCATAAGAAAATTCCATTGATTAATTAATTTATGAGCATAGCTTTTATTTGATTATCTTGATGATCATCAATATAATGAAATGGAAGCTCTCATTCCTTCCTCTTTACATCCACAATGCTTCTCATTTCGAAATGAAATTCAATTTAATTCTTTTTATCCACTTAACATTAATTTTGAAAGTCATGAGAACAAAGGACAAAAGATAAGACTATTAAAATGACCATTAGTAATGAATTATGGGTAGATGAGGTCATTAAGTTCAAAGGAATGTATTGTGTGTAGCAACAGAGGATGACACTTGTTGAATTCTGATGATTTTCTTGTGGTATAAAGCTTTTGTATTTTATTATATAGCTTGTTGCTGGTATTGTCAACAAAACTGTTGAGTAACTGTAATAAAGGATGTTGGATATACAAATAGATCTAGTGGAAGTCAGCATGAAGGAATATTTTTGAATAATGTTTGATTTCCTTTTTGTTTCTACCGGGGATTAGTTTTACAGAAGTCACTGAATGTCACTGAGACTCAAGGCGTGGAAACTATCCCAAATATCCCATTTATCCCATAAATCCCGAAAATATTCAAAATTATCCCTGAGCTTGTATGCATTAGAATTGAGATATCCCATCATATCCTGAAATTACACATCCAATAAACTAAGGATACGTTGGGATATCTTTACTATCGGGCATACATGCTCAGGAATTTTTTGAATATTTTTGGGATATATGGGATAAATGGGATATTTGGAATAGTTTCCACGCCTTGCTGATACTTGTGGATTCTCTAATGGTAACATGAATGTTGTCTGTCAACCATAAAATTAGGTTTGCTTGAGTCTTCCAGTCAGGAGCTTTTGTTGATTAAAATCCAAAACTACCAAAACATACAAAGTTTTGAACCTTCATTAAATCCAGAAACATCATTCTAAACTGAATCCTAGGTTCTGCAGAGCAAGCATCAAGTATCAAGGCAATTACCAAGTGTTAGAATATCAAATAAATTTCAATGATTTAATAATATTTACGTTAGAATCAACTCCATATAAAGTTCATAAAAGCCATGGCAGTCAGCTTCTATATTTAAGTATCCAAAACTTTTGCAAAAATGAAATATTTATAATAATAAATTCCTCAACTTCAAAAACTCATTATCTCGCCAAAAAATAATAAAAATATTTTTATACAGTTCCGAAAATACTTTTTGGGGTTCTTCAGACTAAAATTAAATTTAGCTTCAAAGTTGTTTTTTGCCTCGAAAATAAATTTAATCTTGATTGTCAGGGACTTCCACAAACTTTTTTCAATTCAGCCGGCGTAATTTGATGTCTGAAAAAAAGCTTTAAAGCATATCATCGAGTGTGACTGAAAATAATGTAAATGAGCGACTAAAAATAAAAGAAAGCACGTATGAGCACTTGTTGAGCTTTATGATAAGAATATAAGAATTATAATGGCTTTAAAACTTGTTACTTCCTTGTTTCATTCTTTTCTTATTTCCTCTGTCTCTATTTTTGTAGCTCATGTTGCTATTTTTAATATTTTTCATTGTTGCTGCTTTATTTATGTGGGTGCCAACATCAAGCAACCAACCAGTCAACCAACAAGCTTTGTAGTAAGTGAATAAAATTTTGTAGACGAAAATTGAAGCAGGAATGAAAATGTTATAAAGGTATGTACAACACATTAAATAGAATTGCTGAATAAATAGTGGAAAAAGCGTACAGGAAGAAGTTGAATGTGTTTTATTAAGTGCTCAAAGAAAATATCAAAACACTGAATATTTAAGCAACTTTATCTAAATATCTATCGTCACACAGATCTGCAGAGAAGATGAAAAAGTTCTGAATATTTAATGTAATGTAAATATTTGGGATTCACAATTCAGCAGTTCTCGATGAGCAAATGAATAAGTTTGTACGTATAATAAAGTGAATGTAAATTGGAAGTATGTTGAACTTAATTAATTACAATTTTCACCATTTTTATAGTATCAGCAGACAAGTTATTTTTTGTTTTATTTAATATTCTGTGTATGTCCTCAATTATTAAGTCATTTTCTAGGAATATAATTTTCTGTGGAATTTGAATTTGTTTGGAAGTTTTATAAAGCTGATTATGAAGTCGACAAGAATTTTTCAGGCCATTTGAAAGCTAGGAATCGAACTTTTAGCTGGCAAACTATTAGAAAAATGAGTTCCAGGACTCGAACGCACGTTCTAAGACTTTGAATCAAATGCTCTTACCATTGAGCTATTGGGGATTAATTGAAAGCTTGTTAGAATTATTTGCTTAAGTTAATCCTTTATCTGACCTGTTCCTTGACTTGTGCTTGATTCTAGTGATGAATTTGGACTGTCTGATTCATTTTCTAACAGGAACAGCGATGGTGTGGCTGTTTTGTGACCTAGATTATTGCATCGATACCGAGTATACCAAAATTTGAAGCAATCATGTCTAATAATATAAAATCTGCATTCAACACTCAATGCAATGTTCATTAAGCCTCAAAGCGTTATACACAACAAAATTTGTAAGTCTTTTGGGACCAATTCCAACAAGGGCTTCTACATCTTCCTAAAAAGCATCAAATTACCTAAGTAAACACTTTACTTCCAAGAAAGACAAAAGAATCTTAATTGTTTGCTATATACAACCTACACCCTGCTTCACGTGTCAATTTCTCGACATTTAAGTAAGACTAAAAATCTGCTCATGATTACCGAAAATTGTTCCTATGTATACACATTTAGTTAAATGTCGACAAGTATAATGATGATAACAATTCCGATTTTCTTCTTTTTTTGTCATGTTATACAACAACAATTATTACTAGTTCCTACCTTTTTATCATATCAATGAAACAGAAACAAAGAAAACTTTTAATTGTTATTGTTGTGCTGAATACGAAACTAAAGCAAATGGATATGGAGATGGGGAAAGTAAGTTTAAGTTTCAACCTTACTTTTAATTAATGAAATGAAACTCATTTAATAACTTTCTGTTATCACTCTTGCTTTCGATTCTATTTTTCGTGTGTTGGGGTCATTGACTAATGACGTCAGGGGGGAAGGGGATATAAAATCCAATGCAACCATGGCTCTGTATGGAATCAGCAGTAACATATCTCTAATGTGTCTTCAAATTTTATTTTTAGACGTCATTTACGAGCAACTCCCACAAGGTATATACAACTTAACCTTTTCTGAATGAAAAAAAAAACAGAAAAAGTTTTTCTTTACAACTTTTTTTCTTTTCTTTTTCTATATCAATAAACAGTGAGAAAAGAGTTATGTACATAGAAGTAGGGAAGGAAGAGCTGCAAAATATATAAATTGAAAGAATTTTCTTCTTGATTTGATCTTTCTTTTTGTGTAAATTAAGATTAACCATTTGCAAATATTGAAATTTGTCTGTTTAAAATACAATATTTGATACCTTGTTAAATGAGGTTGTGATGAGGATTTTAATGCCATGGGTGGGATGGGGTTGATTGATTGAAAATGTTGAAAATGAATGAGTCATTTTGAGATGAATTTTTTGTAAGATTCTTAAATTTTCGATACTTTTACGACATCAGGTGCTAATAAAAAGTTGAAAAAAGGTTCTTTAAATCATAAAAAATTCTTTTTATGGTGCTTCAAGGAACAAAATCAATTGAAGTTCCTTCGCTGAATTTTTTTCATTTTATTTCGTTATCCCCAAGAAAAACAAAGCAAATATTCAATAATTTTGTATCTGATGAAATATGCAACAGGCGTGTAACTAGGGGCAGTGAATGGTTGTGTAGTTCCTCAAAAGTTAAGTGCCATAATTCAAAACCCCCGAAATTCACCTCTGCATTTACATCATCCAGAATAAAAATCCCAATTTCAATCAATTTCATCCCGGACACCCTCAATTTGTTTATTTCTGTCTGTCAAGATTCAATTTTTATTGTTCCTTAAAACTCAGCAATTCCGATTATTTCGCCAAAGGGTCTCATCTTCTGCAACAAATTGCTACATTTGAATTTATGCGATTCACACTATTTTTTCCAATCCCTATCGAACTCTTATTTACAAAGAGTTTCAATTTATTTACACTTTCATTCTTTCCTGTATTTATTTTTAGAATGAGGAAAATCAGATTTGATTCTTGTGTATACAAAACGAGAAAGAGAGGAAAGAATGTAAGAAAATTAGCCTGAACAAAATCTGATTGACATGAAAGGGAAAGGATTGAATGTTTATTGACATTTTAACAATAGATTCTTCCGTTCAAAATCTCTTGAAGGTTTTAAAAAGAAGAAATTCTGAATTTCTATAAAATTGGCTCCCCCAAAAAAAAGGTTTTTCATCTTGTTTGATATCATTGGATATAAAAAAGGTGGATAAGCTTACTTTTGCATCACTATCAGCTGTCGCATGATACCGAACTTCCAATTGTCCTCCTAATACCGCATACCAATACCGTCCCTGTTCACCAGCACGAAATACTATTGTGTATTAGTTGATGGGGTGGAATCATCGGAAGTGCGGATGATGAAATGAAAAGAAGATATGAAAACTTTAATTACAGATCGCAACAATGTAAGTATTAGTGGTGGAAATAGGGGGAAATTGCTTGGTGGGAATATTTTTATGAATTTTCAAGATTTAAATAATCAGTGATTTATAAATAGACTTAGGGCACAATTAGGATGCACTTGAGGTACTTGTAAAATATATCTAGTAAGTTCCTCTTAAAGATTACCTCAAATGGGCCATAAATGCATGCTAAAAGCTATGTTTTCATCATGTGGCACACTAGGGTACCCTTTAATGTAGCTTTAGGTCCTATTGAATAGCAAAAATTTTAAAAAGTGCTCCAAAAAGTATGTGTTCATCCTAAAAGGGCTTTCTATCAAGTCAAATTCAGCAATTTTTCAACCCTAAATGATTCCCCTTTTTTTCCATCATAGCATCAAGACGATGATTAAATTTTAATATCATATTATGATGACTTACAAGTTACTCCTTTCTCTAAATCCTCATAGAAGCCGCACATAGCTAGCTGTTGTAGTGCAGAGTTTGTTAATCTACAAAGAGGCTCCACTCGACGCAGACGGCAAGCTATTAATTCCACATCTCTCATGTTACGATCGCATGGTCTGGTTTTGAGGGAAAAATAAAGAAGAATGAAAATGTGATGGAAGTTGAGGGTATAATTAAATCATGGTTACAAAATGAAGAAAAAAAAAATCACAAATGTAATAAAAGAGAATTTAATTTTTTTTTTTCATAGCTTTATATGCAGACGAAATGAGATAACGAAACATATAAAAATTTATTAAATCAAAAGTACATTTAATCGCATTTTAAACGAGGCATGAATGTGATATGGCTTTAAACTTCCCATTTTCGTATGTGAGAATGTTCACCTCTAAGCAACGAAAATAGAAGGCGGAAGAAATTTAATTTAGAAATATTTTATGAGCTGCAAAAAAGGCTCCATCAGATCTACGACCACACATATACACACACACATAATCGCTGTGGTTGTGCGTAAATTTATTTTTGTAGCAAATAGGATTTTTTTTGCGGAAGCAGTGAGTATTCTCTAAAACAGTCATCATATGTGTGCACAAAAACAAAGTTATTTCATAGCTACATGTGGTGAAAAAATCTCATGAGATAATATTACATATGTACAGTTCAATTTATGTACCGGTCGATAGGTTGAAGGTTCTTGTATAATATAATCTAGTTAAAAAGGTGATTTTGCGATAGAAAATTGATGACTCTAGTGAATTTTTAGTCGTGCCTACAGGAATTTAACCGAATCGATGATTTTTAATAAAATTGTTGCATATTCAATAGAATATGCTTCAAATTAAATACATCCCCAGTTGTATCACCCGAAAAAAAGGCATTTCATCACGTAAAATTGCTCAAAATATATGTGTTAAAGCAACAATATATTTAGGACATATGAACATGCTTAAATTTGAAGATTGATGGTCGGGTGCTTGGATTAATTAATTTATAAGCCATCATGAGAATTTTTTCCTTCCTCCAAGCATAACATCCATTAATAAGCATACATACCGGTACATATATAGTTTTATTTTATGAATTTTACATGGAATGTATCCTCGAAGGTTGAACTACATATTTATATGTAAAATGTGATGGGATTAATCTTCTAATTTAAAATCCTTTTGGGATACAAAAGCTTTTTACCTCTTCATGAATATTCTCATTCTCTATTACATTTAAGCTTCACATTATGGAGAGAGATAAATGTATAAAAAGTTAATGGAATATTTCCTTTTTACAGGAATAGAAATAGGAAGCCAAACAGACATTTCTTTTAATTCTCTTGTAAAGTATTGAATCTAGATCTGCTGTAACACTCTTTCAAAGCTATTTCCTTTTTGTGCAAATAAAAGAAATGGGACTTTGTAGATGAAGCTGTTGAATTGACTCAACGTTTGGATTTTGTGGATAATTAATAGGGAGTTAGGAGAGCCAAGGGTGAGTAGCTGACATCCGAGAATTTTGATTGAAAATATTGGATATTATGGTTTGGTTAGAACCAAAACTGCTTCAAAAGTGAGTTGACCACCTTCTTGTTAAGAACAGAACTTTTCCACAATATTCTATTCCAATCCATAATGGATCACCTTTTAAGTTTTGAGAGCTTTTGATAATCCAAAACTTTAAGCTCCATCAGCCTCATTTTACCACCAGATGATAAATTTTCTCATTACACTCCATTCCCAAGCTATTTTAAAAACATGTTCACCTATCAACTGACCAAAACTTGGGAATGTATTGAAAATCAGTAAGTCAATGTAAAAGTTTTCTCCATTTTGCTATCCTTTTTTATTCACTATAGACATGATGTATACATATTTGTAACTTTTTTACAAGCATATACATCCAACACACTGGGAATAAAGGAAAAAGTTTTTCTAATGCCTAATGATACATGATACGAAGGGATTTAGATGAACATGCAGTGTAAAGCTGCGAAAAACACGTCTAAGAAGAAGAGAAAAAATTACAAAAATTATTTTTGTTGACATAAAACATTACAAGCACATTGATATGAAAAATATACATAGTCAGTAAGGGAAATGATAAAGCAATATTGAATGTTAAAGAAAATAAATGTCAAAAAGAATGAAAATTGACAAAAAGAGAATTTATTATGGATTGAGCAAACGAAATCAGATTTTTGAATCAAAGATGAGGCAGATCAAAGAGAAGCAATAACGAAAAGAAAACAAATAATATTTGTGTGTGATGTTAGATGAGAAGAGAGCAATCAAGCATCATTTCCGAAAATGAATTTTTATTTCTTTTGCCTTTAAAGATTTTTTTTATCTTGTTCATCTTGTAAGTTGGGTTTGGTGAGGGTTCAAAGCACTAATATCCTCACAAATCACAATTTGACACCAAAACTCACAACAATTAATTCTGTTCCTAAACAAGCTGGCTCACAATGACATGACAAACTCTAATTTTCTGAAATTGTTTCACCATAAAGCACACCGACTATGTCCAATAAAATTTCATGTTAACTTTAATTTTATAGATTTTGACATCATTTTATTCCGTTAAGTGCCTAGCAGTGAGTATAAAGTCTAGCTGACATTAATTGAGTATGACGTAGTGTCTCTTATACATTAGAGGTATCAAAATAAAAATCCTGAATCTTTCTGCTTGTGTGCTGCTGAAAAGCAATTTGAATATTCCAATTATTTTCTGAGAATTTCCACCCTAATAACATCAATTTCAATCGAGATTATATAAAGCGTAAATTAGATTAAGTCTATAAAGCAGGATGTTTAAAGTAAAAAGCAAAAAAAAATTGACTTAATTTAAAATTAAATTTCTTACAAACAAAAAGTAGCGCTAAAGAATTTTATTGCAAATATATTCAATCATTTGGTGCTTCTTCTTGTTCCTTCATTCTAACATAGACATCAACATCTTCATCATCATCCGACGTCTGTTGGAAAGGGAAAACCTTTTTATTTCAATCATTTTCTACGTCTGCCGAATCTTCAGAATTGAAAGTAATTTTTATCATCCTACATGCTGCGCGTGGGAGAAGGAAAGTAATTCTTTTCGTTGTAAAAAATAAGCAACAGAATCAGTTCCTACGAATTTTATTTGTTTGTTCAATGAGGAGTTCTAAAATGTTTTGTTTAAGTTAAATCAAGAAGAAAAATAAAAAAAAGATATCAGTTCCTCTTCGTCGTGTTTCCATTTGATATTTGTCAAATGTAAATATTTGCGGTATTATTCTTTCATTTCATGATGATTTTTATGATATTTCTTTATTTATTGTGAGGCACTTAAGGAACAATTCTCTTATCGCAAGGTTTTTGTTTTCGTTACTTTTTTTCAGAGTTTGAGGTTGAGTTGGAAGTTTGTGATTTCTTATAAAAATATTGTTTTGATCAAACTTTAAGTTATCAGCTCCATTTAGGTCCTTACAGTGAGTTTGCAGCATAACTTTATGTTTTTCATTCTTTAGACTGAGCTAGAACAACCTCTGTCCACATTTAAGAGAGAATTGCTTCAATTTATTAAGAATAAGAACCCTCCTTCCCTCTCCCTTCCAAATTTTTTCTGATTAAGGGTAATTCCATGAGTAATGAGAACTGTGAAAAAGCACTTTACAATATTTCTCTACTTGTAAAAATTCAAATTTTCCAAAACCGTTATAATTTCTCAACGTTTTGTTGTTTATACAAGTGAATAAGCCGCAATATCAGCAAAGAGAGATGGTTCAAATATATATGATCTTTAATGTTTTGAAACTTTAGTTACTTGCTCAATTAAATCAAATAAATCTAATACTTTTAAGTAAAATCAAGAAAATCTAACGGTTTTTGTGAATTTGAAATTTTTTTCAGTGTTCTGTTTTGCAATAATCGGTCAAAAATTGACCGATTAATGCTAGTTTTTTTGGTTTTTCTTCTTAATTACAGCATTAAGGAATGCAAATTATACATAAAACAAAAACCTGGCTAATATCTAATATGTTAAAAGTAACTTTGGAACATAGAAGTGTGTATTTAAGTAAATATTAGGAAATGTTTAGAAAACGATTTTTCGAAAACTTGACCGATTAATTTTACTTTTATTAAAAAAACAAAAATTAGACATATTTCTGATGTGAAATTCTCACATATGGAGATAAATATTGTGTTAATAAACATAATAAAGTTACAATTTAGAGTACAAAGTTCTTAGTTAAGGAAATATTTTTGAAAAATTGGTGCACCAAAATTTTTTTCACTCATGGAATTACCCTTAAGATCTTCATTACATCTTTCCTTTCATCGAGTCTCCTGAGAGTTAAAAGCTTCTCACTAGTCTAACTTTCATTAAATCTACACACCACATAAAACATTTTAACGTAAAATTAATTCCTTTACATATTTAACATGCGTACAACTCTCATAAATTTTCAAGTCATACAATAATAACAAGCTTCATTCATTTTAAATATCTTCTCAAAACCGCCACATGCTTGATTGATTTTTCAGAAATGAAATTTTCCATTAAAATTGTTGATTCCTTAATCCTTTATTTTGCTGTCGGATTAAGTTCAAAAAATCTCTTAATACCATCCAAAAAAGAAGATTAAATATTAATTAACATAAAGCCTTTGAAATATTTTTTTTAAGGCAAATCATTGTGTTGTTTTGCATCCCAATTGGTTTCGAATATTTCATCCGTTCACGAAAAAAAAACCATCAAGATTTTTCTGCTCTTACTTCCGAAAAACCAAATCAAATACATTTCTTCTTCCTCTTGCTGTTGCGGTGATGTTTATATTTCGTGTATGAAACATTTCATTATTTATCTGACTCTATTCGACTTTTTATATTTATTTTTTTGGGATATATTCTGCCTTTAATCCCTCATCATATATCTGCTAGGAAAAGAAATAACAATTTGCTATTGTTGCTTGCTAGATTTTATTATTGTTTGATAATACCATATCATTGGGATTAGCGACGCATCATATATATGAAAAAAGTAGGTATTTGAACAGAACTTATGGGGATTTTTTACTGATAAGGGGGAAAGCTAGTTTGGATCGATGGATGTTCTATTAACTATTGTGTTTCTCAACTTTGCTGAA